TCTTTGCATGTGTGTGCCCTACATGTAGTAGCATGTAATGAATATTTATGGCCTTATAAATTCAATTGGCATTTGATTACTTAACAATGAAGTGAGAATGTTTCCAGAGAGAAAAAACATTATCTTGGCTGAGCTTAATGGAGAGGAGGCTGTGAAGGACACTGATTTAGTGTGGGGGCTCTGACGCCAGACAAGTCTGAACCCCAGCTCCTCACTTAACCATGACATAATCTCCCTGTGCCTCAGTTTCCACCTCGTAAAGTGGAAAGAACAGTAGCACTTGACTAACCCCCTAAAATAGTGCTGGAACACAGGCAGCATCTTCTAAATTGTCAGCTGTCACAATTTTATTATTTCTTCCTAATGAATTTTATATTCTTAAGAAATAGACATGGCTGACACATAAGTAATCTTTACCTCATTCAATTTGTGTCTAGAGTGTCAGATTCTTATCTTTAAAGCATGAATTGTCTGAATGATTGTGGTTTTTTTTCCCCCTGATTATATAAATTGAAGGAAGAAAAAAAAAGAAGCTGATCAAAAACAATAACACAAACAACAAAAGAAAAACCCAGAATAAACCAGTGTTAGGCAAATAGAAGAACCTGAGGGAGCATGCGGAAGGTTGCCCAATAGACCTATGCAGTAAAAGAGAGATGGAGGAGAAAACCATCAATTAAAATTAATTACAAGTTTTTAATGATCTCTGATGCTGACCTCATGCACCAGGTACCTGGAACAAAGAAAAGGAATGTGGATAATTGGGTAGTCATGGTATTTTCCCAACTGGCCACTTTCCCTTTAACAAGATCAAACTTATCTCTTCCATTGTGCCCTCATGGGCTACCTGAAATCACCGCTCAGTTTCCTCTCTGCCGAAAAGAGAAGAAGTCCTGAGGCCTGGCAAGTAGCTGTCTAGACCCGACTCTGTCAGCCGGGTTGGCGATACTTTCCAACTGTATCCTCATTCTCTGCACTTCCTGCCAGCTCCAGGCCAGCTCTCTCGACTCCAAGCCTCCATTCCTCATCTGGAAAACTGCAGTGGCTTGCTCAGTGGTCTTCTTGTTTGTCATCCTCTAAAATTACCTTGTCTTGACTTTTCCACTTGTTTTTTATTTGTTTCCCCCCTTAGCCTATAAATTTCTTGATTGCCAGGGGCTGGCACATGCGTGGCCCAATAAATACTTCTTGATTGAATGGAAGGAATTGTGAATAGTGGCTTTCTCAAGCAAAAGACATTTTCTCTCCCAAAGGGAAATCTACTTTGTTCATATGAAAGTGAGCTCCTTAATAGGTCTACTGGGCAACATTTTGCTAACCTCATTCAAATTATAACAGACTTCAAAGTCATAAAAGGTAGTCATATGCTTCCTTTTAAGTGTGTAATTTGAATTTTTCACACCCAGAAATGGAAGGCAGAGAGTGAAATATCCCCCAATTATTATCGTGGCTAATTTTGTGCTTTTGAGGCAGGCTGATGCACTCAGCTACGGTGAGTCTGGTGGTCAAGCACCTCCCACCTCATTCTCAGCAACTGTTTTCAGCTACCCTACTTCACACTAGCCCTAGCTCAGGTCTGGGATCTGCCACACTCGTGACCACCTTGGGTGGTGTAAGTCAGGTCCTCATAGCACAGCCCAGGGCCCCTGGGAAGGAAAGGCTCTGGCTGTTTCCCGTAGGAGGTATCTCTGCTCTACAGTATTTGATCCTCCCCTTGTCCTCCTGCTGCAGCTGATTGGATCAAGGGTGGTCACCCCACCCCAAATCCACCCCAAAGGCAGGCTGGATGTAGAGCCTGGCTTGGCACAGGAGGCTCCAGCCAATGAGATGGGTCAGTTCTATGCCACGCACTCCCCTTGGATGTGACCTGGGGAATGTGGGCAGAATCACATGGTCAGTAGGAGTTGGAAGTTTGTGGGAAAGTGAGTGGCCATATAGAGCTAGGAACAAATCTGAGTTATGAGGAGTCAGAAGCAGAAGCGCTGAGTTGAATAAGAGATGCAAGGCTGGGAAGCAAGAAGAGACGGGGCAGGCATACAGAGGGAGGTGGGCGCTAGAGAGTGGCACACCAAGCTAAAGGTGGCATGCTAGAGGGAAGCCCCAGCTCCCTGAAGCTGGGTGCCGAAGCCAGCTTGAATTTTCAAAGACCTTCCTGTTCCAGGCTCCATGATCCCAGGTCATGAGATTTCAGGAAGATTCTGGCTCCGTTGTTGTGCCACAGTAAATTCTAATTGCCCGAGTTACGCTAAGTGACTCACTGTTCTTTATGGGCTCACAAGCCAACATAACAAAAGAAACCACCCTCGATGGGTAGAGGGCCTGCACCAGCGTGGGCCGCCCTGTTAGGCCCTGTGTGCTGAGGGGCACAGGGAGGGTGGCGGTGTACAAGACACTCAAGCACTCTAATATCCACAGGGGCGGTTCCCTTCCTCAGGGATCGAAGCTCTATTTTTTTTCATGTATTCCCCTTAATTTTACACACATATATAAAATATATATTTTATTAATATATTTATAATCCTATTTTATATATAATATAAAATATATAAGTATATATAATATGTAAATATAATATGAACATATGTAACGACGGCCCTATATGGTAATATACAAGGAAATATCTATCAGACCCTTCTCATAGAAACTTTGCTCAAATCAGTGCAAACAAGAAAAAACAGAGTCTGGTTCCCATCCCCTGAAGAATATTCAAAGTAGAAAATTGGGCTCATAATTTGCAAAGGCTTTTTCTATCCCAAATGGCAATTGATTAATTCCTCCTGGCAAACAAATTGCTGTGCTATCCGTGTAAGTCAGATATCCTCTGAGATTAGTTTAATTGGAACCCTCATGACTTTCTAAAGATTTGAGGTAGTTCTAATAATTGGCACATATATAATAACTCCATCAAAATAGATAACACAAAAGTCATAGGAAGAGGAAAATAAATAACCCAAAACAATGAAGCTGGCATAATTCCAATAATGAACAACTAAACTCTAAGTTGCCTGAAGGTAAAAGGAAAAAGGGAAAATCCTAGATAAAAATTATCACTGTTTTTTTTTTTAGACAGAGTCTCACTTTGTTGCCCTGGCTAGAGTGAGTGCCGTGGCGTCAGCCTAGCTCACAGCAACCTCAAACTCCTGGGCTCAAGCAATCCTACTGCCTCAGCCTCCCGAGTAGCTGGGACTACAGGCATGCGCCACCATGCCTGGCTAATTTTTTTTTTGTATATATTTTTAGTTGTTCAATTAATTTCTTTCTAATTTTAGTAGAGACGGGGTCTTGCTCTTGCTCAGGCTGGTCTCGAACTCCTGAGCTCAAACAATCCGCCCGCCTCGGCCTCCCAGAGAGCTAGGATTACAGGCGTGAGCCATCGCGCCCGGCCAAAATTATCATTGTTTAATCAAAATAAATTAATCCAAAGAAATGGTTTTTCTTTTGAAATTATTTTAAAAAATTAAGTCCTTCATAATTTCATCATCATAATACTATTATTTTTGCTTGTACACACTATATTCCAGTCCTATCTGCAAACAAGATGTAGCTAATTGTATCTTTCAAAAATATTTGAATAGGCAAAACATTCACATAGTTTGAAAACAAGAAAGTATGAAGAGGATACAGTGAAAAGTTTCCCTCCCATCCCTGTCAGATATCTGCCCAGGTTTAAATCCCCTCACTCCCAGGTTTGTATCCTTTCAGAGTTTTTATGTGCATTTAATAATGTCATCATCAACAGCAAAATATATATTCTTATCTCCTGCCCCATTTTTGCACCTTGATTTTTTCCCCATTTTTTGCAGGCTTTTTCATATCAGTAGAAGGAAAGTGTTCTAGTCTGTTTGGGCTGTTATAACAAAATACCTTAAGACTGGGTCATTTAAACAGTAGAACTTTATTGCTCACAGTTCTGGAGCTGGAAAGTCCAAGATCAAGGCACCAGCACATTCAGTGTCTGGGAAGGGTCTGTTCCTCATAGATGGTGCCTTCTCGCTGTGTCACATGGTGGGAGGGCAAGCAGGCTCCCTCAAGCACCTTCTGTAATGGCACGAATCTTATTAACGAGGGCAGAGTCCTCCTGACCTAATCACCTCTTAAAGGTGCCCCCTCTTAACGCTGTCACCGTGGGTGTTAGGTTCCAACACACGAGTATGTAGGGGACACCAACATTCAGACCACAGCAGGAAGGCTCCTCATTCTCTTTTATAGCTGCTCAGTAGCTCATTGTCTGGATGTACCATAACTTATTTAACCAGAGTCCTACTGATATCATTTGGGTTGTTTCCTTTTTCTGCTATTATAAATGAAGCTAGGGTGACTAATCTTATACATATGTAACTTCACACACATGCAAGTATGGCTGTGGGTTACATCCCCTGAAGCAGATTTCTGGGTCAAACAGCAAATGTATTTATAAATTTGATCGCTATTGCCAAATTGCCCTGCACAGGGATTTCAGTAACTGACGCTTCTACCAGCAGAGTCAGAGGGCTGAGTGCCACTTAATATCCACACACTCAGCCAGAACTAAGTATCCTACCGCAACACTCCAGGGAGGAAGGAAAAGGAATGTGAGAAAGGAAGAAATGTTTACCAGGCACCTACTATGTGCCAGACACACTGTATACACACTCTAGATATACTCTGTGATTGTATGAGGCAAAGTGTGTTTTTTTGAATTTTACAAACGAGGAAAGTGAGTCTCAGAGAAGTTAAGAAAATTTACACGACGTCTCAAGTAAGTAGAAGAGTCCCGAACCCATGGCTGGCTCTGAAGCCTGTGCTGCTTCCAGTGGGCCCCTCCGAAGGTGTGAGGGACAACATTTCAGCAGGGCCCTGGTTCCTCCGGAGGCTGTTTCTATCAGCGTCCATGGATGTGAACAGCAGATTTCATTTCCCAGCTGCTTTATTTTCTTGCCTGCCTTGAACTTCAAGTGTCAGAGCTCAGCCCTGCTTAGAGGAGCCCCTGGAAACCCCTGCCCCTGCCCCAGCCCTGCCCCTCACATGTGGCTTTTGTGGGCACAGCAGGGCTCCTCCGGGTGCGGGTGCAACTCTCCCAGAAGAGCATCCAGCCACGCTTCCAGGTCTTGCACTAGCTGCTCCAGCTCTTGCACTAGCTGCTCCAGCTCTCGCACCTCTTCCTCTAACTTCTCCAAGAAAACATACACATTCTCCTTCAACCAGATCCTGATGACCTTTATTGGCTCTTCTGTGGGTTCACTGGTCTGATATTCAAGCCCCTGAAAGGCAGACACCAAAGTTGCATCTTGAGCTTTTTCATGTAGGACCCCTTACTACTGGTTTCAAAAAGTTCTCTGGGCCTTTGGGCATGATATTCATTCTGCTTACAGTACCCATCCTCACCTTAGCCACCTGGCAAGCTTCTACTTATCCTTCATGACCCAGCTTGCCAGTGACACCTCCTCTGGGAAGCCCACTCAGATTGCCTCACCTCAGTGGTTTCCTTAGTACCTTGCTGAATATGTTACCTGGGAAGCCACAGGATTCTGGTAACAGTTACATTCTCTGATCCTTTCTGACACCTCCCAACTTCTTCCTGGAATGGGCACAAACAACGTCTCTTAAGGGTAAGTGAGTGGTAACTGAAATCAACATGGTTGGTCATTCCAGTAGGGTGAAGGGGGGCGGGGCAGAAGAAGGCAGGTTATGGAGTCCCCTTAGCATGCAACCATCTCCGGAATACCCCACCAGATTCCGTGTGGAGCCAGTGCCTGCTTTCTCAGATTCCAGAACGCTCACCTGATATCACTGTGCTCAAGTACAGCACCAAGACCAGCAGTGCCAACAGCGTCTGGGGAGAGGAGGAGAAAGGGGAACATGAGGGTGAATCTCTCCATGCTCCCTCCTTCCTCAGAGGGCCAGGCGTGGGGTGCTGTAAGACAGTTTTTAGAGTCTTTTTTCTAGTTATCTAAGTCACACATGCTTGCTACAAAACCCCCAAACGTGGCGGAAATAGATAACTTGGCAACTTATTGACATTTCATTTGTGTTTTTCCTCCTTTCTTCCTTTTGAAAAGGAAGGTCCACCTCTTCCCTCATTTAAAAATTTTTCATTTTAATTGATCTTGAAAAGGAATCAACTTTATTGTGGTATAATTTACATACAACAAAATGCACACATTGGAAATGGGAGGTTGGTGACTTTTGACAAGTGTCTATACCTGTGGACTGTCGCCCCAGTCGAGACACAGAACAGTTCTATCATTTTAGAAAGTTCCCTCGCGCCCTCTTGCACTCAATTCCCTCCTTACCCCCATTCTGCCAGCATCACGAGTCGATCTCCTTTCTCTCCCTGTGCAGTATTTTTGCCTGTTCCATAGCTTTGTATAAATGGAATCGCATGGTATATATGCTTTTGCATTTAGTTTCTTTTGCTCAAGATAACGTTTCCGAGATGCCTCCATGTTTTCGTGTGTTTGATTTTATTGATGAGTATTTATATTGTGTTAGTATTGTATTGATGAGTATTTCTAGTGTATGAAAATAGCACAACTAATCTTTTCACTTGTTGATAGACTTTTAGGTTGTTTCCAGGTTTGGATTATTGTGAATAAAAGTTCATGAGTGTTCACATCTTTGAGTGGACATATGTTCTCGTTTGTCTTGTGTTAGTATCAAGAAATGCAAATGCTGGGTCATACGGTCAGTGTATGTTTAATTTTATAAGAAACCACTCAACTGTTTTACTAATGTTTGTAACATTTTACATTCCTGCCAACAAGTCATGAGAGTTCTAGTTGCTCCACATGCTGGCAACACTTGGTATTGTCTATCTTAATTTTAGGCATTCTGTTGCTAGTGATATCTTGATCTAGTTTTTATATGAGTTTCCCTAATGATTAATGATGTTGAGCATTTTATCGTGTGCTTATTGGCCATTCATAATTCATATGTTATTTTTGTGGTGCGTCCATTTGAGTCTTTTGCCCATTTTTTATTGGACTATTTGTCTTCTTCTTATTAAGTTGTAATAGTTTTTTTTTTTTTCTGTATTCTGGATGTAAGTCCTTTGCCAGATATTTGCACTGTGAATATTTTCTCCAAGTCTGTGGCTTGTCTTTTCATTTTCTTACCAGTGTCTTTTGAAATTTAAAAGATTTCAGTTTTGATGGAGTCCAATTCATTGAAGTTTTCTTTTTGTGGTTGTGCTTTTTGTGTGCAGTCTAGAAAAATTTGCCTACTTCAAGGTTGTGAAGATTTTTTTCCTGTTTTCTTCTAGACGTTTTATTGTTTATGCTTTTACATTTGGGAGTATGATCCATTTTGAATTGATTTTTGTATATGATGAAGTAGGGATTGAGTTTTTTTATATGGGTGCCCAGTTCTAGAATTATTTGTTTAAAAAGATTAATTTTTCCTCATTGAATTACACTGGTGTCTTTGTCAAAAATATATCCACCATGTATTAAGTTGGTCTACTGCTGGATTTTATCCTGTTTCATTGATCTGTATGTCTATCCTTGCATCAATACTAAATCTGTATTAATACATACATAACAGAATATCACATTCCTAACAGAATATCACGAATGGGGTGTCTTGAACAACAGAAATTTATTTTCTCCCAGTTTTGGGGGTGGAAGTCCACCATCAAGGCGCTGGCAGGGTTGGTTTCTGGTGAGGTCTCTCTCCTTGGCTGGCGGATGGCGCATTCTCAGTGTCCTCCCGTGGCCTTTTCTCTGTGCTTGCACATCCTTGGTGTCTCTTCCTCTTCTTACGAGGACATCAGTCCTATGGGATTAGGGACTTACTCTTATGACCTCATTTTACCTAAATTACCTCCTTAAAGACCTTATCTCCAACTATAGTCACTTTGGGGGTTAGAGCTTCAACATATGAATATTGGGGGACACAGTTCTGTCCATGACAGTGACTACACTGTCACCATTCTGTTTCATTGACTTATGTATCTCTCTTATATAATACCACACCATCTAGGTTACTGTGGCTTTATCATAGGACTTGAAATCAGATAGTGTAAAATTTCAACTTTGTCCTTCTTCAGGTTTGTTTTGGCTATTCTACATCCCTTGCATTTTCACATACATTTTAGAGTCATTTTTTTCTGTTTCCATAAGAAAACTTCCTGGGATTTTGATTGGTATTATGTTGAATCTATAGTTCAATTGGGTAAGAAATAATGTCTTAAAAATATTGTATCTTGTAATCCATGAACATGGTATATCTCTTCATTAGCTTTTTCTTTAATTTCTATTAATAATGTTTTGTAGTTTTCAAATGTAGAGACCTTGCACATCTTTGCAAAGTATTCTGTTTTTTGATGCTATTATAAATGATATTTTAAAATATTCACATTCCAATTGTTTGTTGATAGTCTATAGAAATACAATTGAGTTTGTATCTTGAGACATTAATTCTAATGGTTTTTTTGATAGAGTTTAGGATTTTGTATGTAGAAAATTGGGCTGTCTATGAAGAAAGTTTATCTTATCCTTTCTAGTCTTCATCTTTAAAAAAGTCATTAGTGGCTGGGTGCGGTGGCTCACGTCTGTAATCCTAGCACTCTGGGAGGCCAAGGCCGGTGGATCACTCAAGGTCAGAAGTTCAAGACCAGCCTGAGCAAGAGTGAGACCCCGTCTCTACTAAAAACAGAAAAAAATTATCTAGGCAACTAAAAATATATATATAGAAAAAATTAGCCAGGCATGGTGGTGCATGCCTGTAGTCCCAGCTACTTGGGAGGCTGAGGCAGGAGGATTGCTTGAGCCCAGGAGTTTGAGGTTGCTGTGAGCTAGGCTGACGCCACGGCACTCTAGCCAGGGCAACAGAGCGAGACTCTGTCTCAAAGAAAAAAAAAAAGTTATTAGTCTTTTATTCTTGCCTGTGTATTGACTTGAATCACCAATACCATCATCTTGTTTCATATCTTAGAGGGAAAGAGTGCAGTGTTAATTGTAGATTTTTCATTGTTGTCTTTATCAGGTGGAAGAAGTTTCCTTCTATTCCTAGTTTTGTGAGAACTTTAACATGAATGAGTGCTGAATTAGTGAAATACTTTTTCTGTACCCACTGAGCAATTACATGAGTATCCCCTTTTTGTGGTAAATTGCATTAATTGACTTTTAAATATTGAGCCAGCTGTGAGTTCCTTCAGTAAACCCTAATTGTTCATGGTGCATTAGCCTTTTTATATGTTGCAGAATTTGATTTGCTACTATTTTGTTGAGTTTTTTTGCATATGCATTCATTAAAGATTCATTTAAATTTTTTCCTATATACTTGTCCAGTTTTGGTATCAAGGTTATGTTGCCCTCTTAAAATGAATTGGTAAGAATTCCCTCCTCCTCTGTTTTATAAAGAATTTGTGTAAGATTGGTATTATTTTTGTCTCAAGTGATTGATAGAACTTACTGGTGAAAACTTTTGGGGCCCGTTGTTATTAAGACTTTCTATTTCTTCTTTAGTCAATTTTATAAGTTGTATTGTCCAAGAATTTTGTCCATTTCACATATATTGACATCAAATCGTCCCACTAGTACCTTAATACTCTCCTAATGCCTGTGGGAGTTGTTGTGATTCTCTCTTTCGCTTTCTAAAAAAATTTATAAAGAAAAGAGGTTGAGAGAGGGAGGAAACAAGAGACCTCTTCTGTTCTTTTATTTTTTAAGAAATTATGCTTATATTTGCCTTTTATTTTTTTCCAATAGTTTTACCTCTTTCATTCTTGATATTGGTAATTTGTGTTTTCTCTCTCTGTTTTTTAAAAAAGTTAGTCTATTTAGAAGTTTGCCAATTTTATTAATTTTTTCAAAAATGGTTTATTACTTTTATTATTTGCTTTATATTTTATTAATGTCTAATTTTATCTTTATTATTTCTTTCCTTCTACCATTGTGCTTAATTCTTCTTTTTCTACTTTCTAATTTGGAAACTTTGGCCATTGCTTTTAAAATTTTCTCGTTTTTCAAATATATATTTGGGTGTGTGTGTGTGTGTGCGTGTGTGTGTGCGTACACATTGACTGACACTAAATTTTCCCCAAAATCACTACATTTGGGTTGAGTCAGATTTAGTTTGCCTTAAAGAAATAATAAACTTCTTAAATTATGAAAATAACAATAATAACAAAAAATTAAAAAATGCATTTCTTACGCACCCAAGTTTGTGAAGCAAGATTTAGGCCTGCTACCACAACAAAGAAGATAAAAGTTTGTCTAATTTTCCTCTCCCCCGATAGTTTTCTTTATGTATACTAACAACTATATTATTATTATTACTAACTTTAAAAAATAAAAATAAGTTACATAGCAATAACATGGTTGAGTTTCACAGGCACAGTGGTAGGGGAAAGAAGCCAGACACAAAGGCACACACGGTGCCATTTACATGAAAGTCAAGAAAGTCCAAGCCTCACCTATGATGACAGAAGTCAGAATTGCAGTGATGGACATGGGGTGCTAGCTGGGGGAGGGCCCAAAGGAGCCTTCTGGGGAGCTAGAAATATTCTATAGTGGTGGTGGCCTGGATGTGTAACCCCAGTGTAAAAGTCATTGCACTTTACATTTGAGGTGAGGATCCTTTTGCTTAACAATATTCATTAGGAATCTTTTCATGGAAGACACACAGAACTGTCTCATTCTTTCAAATGGTTGATGAGTATTCTGTGGTCTGGATGCGCTTCTATTGATTTAACCAGCGCTCTGTCGGTGCGTTTTGTAGGTTGATTTCCTCCCCAGCACCCTGGCTGCTGTTTCTATTCCGTGGTGCGTGGAGGCAAAGGGAGGAACACGGACTAGGTCAAGTTTTCGTCCTTTCCTTGTGCTAGCTTGGTGTCTGAGCCAAACCATTTATTTTCTCTGAGCCTCAGTTTGTTCTTCTGTAAAATGGATTTTGAAATACACTGAAAGGGTTTTCAAATAGAAAACATGGGGCTCTGTGGTAGAATCAATTTGCGAGATGCTGTGGTAACAAAGCTAAGTGGATTTCGCTGCTGTAGGACATGTCAGTCTTTGTCATGTGACGGAGCAGTGTAAATCTCCGAGAGGGGACGAGGGTGCACAGTGGTCCCCAAACCACAGAATTCTTTTTACGATTTTCCTAAAAGAAGCATTCCTGGGGTCTGGTATTTGTGGAACACTTAGGAAAAGCTGCAGCATGGGGTGCCCGTCGAGGCCCGGTCACATGCTAAGAGGTCCAGCTCATCACAGGAGGCGCTGCCTGCCCATCTCATCAATGAACAAGTGAACAAGTCTTCTGGAAACACATACAGTACAGGTCGTCATTCATTGCGCTGCTTAAAACTCTTCAAGAGCTTCTTATTATCCTGAGAATAAAATCCACCCCTCTGCACAGTGTGCAAGGCCGGCTGAGCTTCCCAGCCTCGTGCACACCAGGGAGGCGTGGAGCACAGGGCGAGCCTGGCTCAGGGCTCTCCTGTCAGATGGACCCAGTGTCCAAGGATTCTGGAATCAGATGGATGTGGTTTCAAATCCTGGTATGTCCCAGCTGTACGGCCTTTACTCTCTGAGCCTCAGTATACCCATCCGTGAATGGGGTTGACGGCATTTGCCTCTCAGGAGAGTTCCAAGTTCTGAAAGAGAGGGGACGTGGAAGCACCAGGCTGTGCACAGCAAATGTGAATATTTTCCATTTGACAAAATTCCACAAGGCTGAGGAATTCCAACCCTGAGAACGCATCCTCCAGGACCTGTCTGCTTGAAGAGTATTATCCTATTTATTTCAGTTTATTCGTTCATTCAGCACCTATTATGCACCAAGCACCCTTCTAGGCATGAGGGATTTGGTAGGAAACTAAACAAAAAACTCAGCCCTTCTGGAACATACCTCCTGCTGGCAGTGCTGAGAAGGAAATAAGATAGTGTCAGTAATGACTTCCGGGAGAAGTGTCTAAGCCCCTAGACTGTGCTGCACGAGGTTGGGCTCCAGCGACAGATGGGCCCAAGGCCTATTCTGGACTTTGACAACCTTACAGTCTGTCTGGAGTGGCAAAGGGAGCCCGAATGAGAGGAAAGTGGCACGCACCTGGCCTGGCCTCACCTGCTTCTTGTCCTCACAGCGGCTGCCCCTTCTCTGTTCAAACAGCTTGGCTGCCACGTGCCCCCTGCTGCCCCCCTGTTGGATTGCCATGGTCAGACTGCCCGGGTGGATCCAGGTCCCCCACCCTACAGGCAGATAGCACCCTTCCCCTCCCCCGCCTCTGGTCACCAGGCATCCTGCGAGCATGGAGTTCTGATGTCACAGAAGGTGAGGGACAGCAAGGATGCCACCTTCCCACCACCCTGATTTTTAGCCCCTTCCCTCATATTGTTTTTCCCATATAAATGTAGAAAACAAAGACCAGGAAGAAATGCATCAAAAGATTATATTTCAGGATAATGATTTTTCTGATTTCTTTTCTTCTATGTTTGCAAGTTTTAAATAAAATGTTAATTCTAAAATATAAAAGCTATTTTTAATTGAAAAATTTATGGAGATAATTGTAGGCTCACGTGCAGTTGTAAGAAACAACAGAGACAGCGCCTGTGTACCTGCTGCCCGTCTCCCCAGCGTAACGTCCTGTTTCATGTAATACCACATCACAACCGGGACGTTGGCATCGATGCCATCCACCCATCTCAGCCAGACTTCATTTTACTTGTATCATTTCTGTGTGTGTGTGTGTGTGTGTAATTCTAAACGATTTTGTCACATGTGTAGGTCTGTGTACCTGTCACTGCCGTCATGATACCGAAGAATTCCACAACCGCATGGAGCTTTGTGTTGCCCTTTGGCGCCCACCGCCTCTGCCAGCCTCACCCCCACTGTCCCTGACTACCTGAAGCCACGAATCTGTTCTCTGTTTCTAAAATTTTGCCAATTCAAAACGTCATATGAATAGAATTGAACAATACGTAACCTTTGAGGATTTTTTTAAACATGGTATAATTCCCTGGGGATTCTTCCAGTCTGTTCCATGTATTGGTATTTCGTTCCTTTTCGCTGCTGAGTAGTATTTCATGGTATGCAAACACCACGGTCTGTTTAACCATTCACCCACTGAAAAACCTGTCCAAAACTTGCTCAAAAATTGGCTGTCTCCAGTTTTTGGCTCTTACCAATCAAACTGTTACGAACATTCTTGTACAGGTGTTTGTGTAAACATAAGTTTCATTTCTCTGGTATAAAGCCTAAGAGTGCTATTGCTGAGTCACGTGTTTAGTAATTGCATGATTGTTTTATAAGAAGTTGCCAAACTGTTTTCCAGAATGGCTGTGCCATGGTATGTCCCCATCAGCAGTGATTTAGTTTCTCCTCATCCCCACCAGTATCTGGTGTTTTCACTATTTTTTATTTTAGCCATTTTGATAGATGTCTAGTGAAATCTCACTGTGGTTTTAATGTGTCTTTCCCTGGTAGCCAATGACGACAAACATCTATTCATGTGCTGTGTGCCATCTGCACGACCTCTTCAGTGAAATATCTGGAACCGGATTGGTTTTTCTACAGCTGAGTTTTGAGAGTTCTTTGCTTATTTTAGATACTAGTCCTCCTTTGGATAGTTGTTTTGCAAATATTTTCTCTCGGTCTGTAGCTTATCTTTTTATCCTTTTCACATGCACTTTTGGAGAGAAAAAGGTTTAAATTTTGATGAGGTCCAATTTATCATTTTTTCTTTTACGAATTGTGCTTTTTGTGTCAAGTCTAAGAATGCTTCATCTAGCCCTAGGTTCCGAAGATTTTCTATTTTTTTTTTTTTTTAGTTTTATGTCTTATGTTCCAGTGTCCATGATCCATTTGGAATTAATTTTTGTATAAGGTGTGAGGTTTAAATCAAAGTCCATTTTTTGCTTATGTATATTCAATTTTTCCAGCACCATTTGTTGAAAGGCTATGCTTCCTCCTTTGAATTGCTTTTGCACCTTTGTCAAAAACCAATTGAGCATGTTGTGTGGGTCAATTTCTGGGTTCTCTATTCTATTTCATTGGTCTATGTTTCTATCCCTGCACCAATACCACACTGTCTTGATTACGGTAGCTATATAATAAGCCTTAATATTGAGCAGAGTGATTTTCCCGCTTTGTTTTTCTTTGTCAAGATTGTTTCAGTTCTTCTAGGGCCTGTGTATTTCCATATAAACTTTAGCATAAGCTTGTCTATATCTACAAAAAACATTGCTGAATGGGATTGTGATAGGAATTGCATTAAACTTATACATTACTTTGGTGAGAATTGAAATCTTTACTATGTTGTCTCTTCTAGTCCATAAACATGGTATGCCTCTCTATTTATTTAAGTCTTGTTTTATTTTATCAGCATTTTGTAATTTTCAGCATATAGATCTTGTCCATGTTTTTAAAGTATATATCTAAATATTTTGTTTTCTTTGGACTGTCTTTATACTTTCAAAGCTCCTGTGTATCAAATTTCACATGTTAAGAAATCATTCATTTTCCACATATTGTGAATTGATTTTCCCAAAGTTACACATACATAGCTTCTGGTTAGCACCCAGATAACTTATTTATTCAGACCTGCTATGTATTAGGCATTTCACTGGATTATTTTACTATATTTTCTCTACACTGTAATTCTGTAGGTAGTTTGGGATTGAATGTGTTTTATTAACCACTGGATTTCTTTTTTTATTTCAAAATATTAAGGGGATACAAATGTTTTAGGTTACATGGATCGTTTTTGTAATGCTTGAGTCTGGGCTATAGGTGTGCCTGTCACCCAAATAGTGTTCATGGTACCCGTTAGGTTGGTCTGTTCCCCTCTCCTTAACCACTGTATTTCAAATACCCATTATGCAGCTTGTTACATAGTAAATGTTCTATAAAAATATTTGTTGAAAGGATGAATAATGAAAAATCTCAAACCGTGGGCTCTGAGAAGCCAGGAACTGTGTCTGGTGAATACATTTTTGTATTCACAGAACTTGACTCAGTAAACACTTGTTGAATGAGTAAAACAGGTGGTATGATTTTTATTTTACCAGTGAAGAAGCTGAGGCCCAGGGAGGCTAAGGAAGGTATCAGCGATAGTGGCTGTCATGTCCTGAGTACCTATTATGTGCCAGACCCATGCTAAGTGCTTTCCATGTATTATCTCATTTTACCCTCAATAACTGCCCAGCAAGGCTGGTGCTGTTAGTCTCTCGGTTGGGGACATTATTTTCCTTACTCAGTGTCACATATCCTGCCTGAGTACAGGTCTATTTATCTCCAAAGTCTTTTAGTTTACCACAGGAGTTAATGTAATTTCAGCCCAAAGCAAAGGAAGATACTGCTCCTTCCATGGGAAGACTCAAGGCCAGAGAAAGAAACAGACCTGCCAGAGACAGGTGCAGGAAAGGGACTCACCTCAAGTCTCTTGCCTCCCACTTGGGGGCCCTTCAAAAGGTCATTTGCATCACTTTGATGATCTTGCATGTGCCCCTGCAGCTGCTGTCCTGCAGGGCTTTACCTGGTGGACACATTTCAAATGTCAAATGCAGACATGCAAGGACTGCACATGAAGCTAATTAGCACATCAAACGTAACAAGTTAAAGTCACCTAAAGAGAAGATGACCAGGAACATTTTCTGGGAAACCCCATGAATTCTTCCAGGAACCTCCCCTGAAGAGCAGAGCTTCCAGGATTGGCCCCAGGGCAGGGAGGGGGTAGGAAGAGCAGCCCCCTGGGCCACAGAGGCGTGCCCAGCAGATGTGGTGGGTGAGGGCTGGGGGAGCCGCAGCGCTTTGCTGGGTGCTCCCCGCTTCCCAGTGAGGGAAGAGGGAAGGGATGAGAAAGGAGAGATGGGCCATCAGAACAGGGAATTAGGGAGCAGACCATGTGGGAACTAATGGGGGATGCGGGGAAAGAAGGGAAAATATGTGAATGAATAGAGCTCCAGGCAAACAACTAATTAGTCTTGAAAAATTATATCCTGCCAAGGGAGAAATCTGCCCCCTCCCTAACAAGTGGAGACCAGGCAGTGCTCTGTGCTTGAGTTCTGTCTCCCAAACACACTTGGGTTCAAATCCTGGTGACGCTGCAATATCCACTTGGGAAAGTGACATCGTGTGTCTGAGTCTCAGTTATCTGAAAAACGAGGCTGATAATAACGAATATCTTGTGGGGTTACTGGGGGGACTAAACAGGACCAGCTGACTGGATAGGGCCTGCTTCAAACTGGAACTTCAGTTAGTGTCCCTCCTTCCCTCTCCTCCCTCCCCCGGCCCTACGCCCTCCTTCCTCCTTCCTCCTGCCCTGACTTCCCCTCTCTCCATTCCCGTCCTCCCTCCTTTTCTTCTCCTCACTTCTCCAAGTATTTATCGACTCCTGTGCCAATTCAATTTAATTCTTCCCGTAAGGTAACAATGCAAAGACTTGATATGAAAAGTCTCTCCAGAAGCTGATAGATACGGTGTAATTGGCAAGCCTGGATGGGAGTGGGTGGGCACTAATAGGGTGTAGGAGGAAGAGACAGGATGACTTCATAAGGGAGGAGGCATTTTTGGCTAGCCGAGGGGAGGACAAAGGATTTCTGGGGAGACTGAGTGTTATGGGCGAAGACCTCACAACCTGGGCCTTTGACCAGTGCTAGCCTGGGCCTGGTGCCCTACCTTTAGTCTGTGGAAGAAAGACATATTTATAGCCAGGATTGCAGACTCAGATGCCTAGAGGTACTGAACGATTAATGAAATCAGAGAAGTAATCTGGGTATAAAACAAAAGGGCATGGTGGGGACTGTGGCGAGATATAACGTGCGAGCTCACAAAGGCCAGCCAGCTGTTGCCAAGAGAAAGTGGGGTTCAGTGTCGCAAGGGCTGACATTTTTGCAAGAGAAGCTACAAAGTCAGTCTTTTATGTGAAATCTCTCAACTTATAAATGTTGGCAACAAATTCAACTTTAGAAAAAACTCTACTGTGTGGGCTAAATGCAGGCTCTCAGTGTGTGGACCCTGATTTGTTGTGTGTCCACTGCGTCCAAACACAGCTTGTCCCTAATCCTCACGACAGCCCTGTCATGTGGAGCGTATTACCTACTATGGCAAGCAACAGAAGTCCCCGTGACTCACTCAAATCACAAAGGGCAAATCTTGGAGGGATGTGAGGAGCTCCTGGATTTGACGGGAAGGCTGAAGACCCAGGCTGAAGGCTG